GCTTATCTTATACAAACTTGCTTGGTAGGAAATCATCTGAGTGTTTATGCCAAGGATCTGGCATCAAGGGTAGGCATGGCTGGGCACTTGTATGGGTCCCACTCTCCAGCATGGGCCCACCTATGGAAGCCCTCTAGAAGAGTTCTCCAAAGGGTTCTCCTGGTTCTTCAGCTGGGTCTCACTCTATCCAGCCCATGGCAGTGACAAGAAGGAGGTATAGTCAGCTACTTCTTGTTCACTGTCTCCTGCCTGTCAAGCTCATAAGTGGTGGTTGGGATGAGAAAGAAGGTGAGGAGCAATTGCAGCTGGTGATGATGGTGGTGAGATGCTGGACTCACTGAGGAAAGGGATTGCTTGCCCAAGGGCCCTCAAAAGCCTGGGGTTGCCAAGGTTCCCAAGCAAGAACCCAAGCAAGGTTGCTTCTCAGTGATAACCCGCAGAGATGTGGCCCATTTGGGGGAAAAGTGGCGATTTCAATGCCTTTCCTTCAAATTCTTCAATGGTTTCAGACTGCAGCCAGAACATCTAGCCTGGTCTCACAATTGAACTCAGTGCAACTGATACCAATTCTAATTTTAAACAGGCTTTTGGTGAACACTTTTACAATGCATTCTTGCTGATGAATTGTTCCAGTCACCATTTCTTTTTTTCAAAGTTATTGTTATCTATGATAAAAGTTATACATCTGTTAATTTCCCAAGTCACGTGCAAGTCTGAAAATTGGTTGTGGCAAGTCTCTTTTCTTTCTCCTTAGATGCATTTTTTTTAATTAGATAAAGATTATTTTCCCCCAAGTCCCCAGGAATTTTACGGAATTAGAAAACCCTGAAATGAGAACCAAATTACTTAATTTGCTCCACACGTAATTCATAATTTCTAGGTATTTGGGAAATCTGATTGCTGTGGAAAGCATAATTAATCAGAAGAGCCTCTGAGGATAAAATGTTGTGTCCATTAAATTAAGTTTTCTCCAGGTATCATGCCCTATGAGTGACACATTGGAGCAATTTTGAATCCCTGGAAAGGATCAGCAGGTTTTGCCTCGGGCATTTAGTGGAGGCTTCGTTTATCAGCTGCTGCTTTGAAGTAACAGAAAGACTACTGAAGACCAAGAGCTGCCCTTACCAGAAGAATGTGGATGATGAATTAATCTGCTGGGCTTCAATTTCAGCTCTTGTTGCTCCAAAAATGCTGCATATGTCTGATCCTATCCAATTTTCAGCTTATTGGAGAAGAGCGGCTTATGAGTGGTCCAATGTATCTTCTCTTGCTGTGCGGAGGTGATGGGGGAGACACATTCAGCATGTGCATGGGAATGCATGTCCATTGGGGCATGTTTGGCAGCACAGCGTTGGTCTCTGCTGGGCCTGCATGTTGATGCAGATCTGAATTCACCATCCTGTCTAGAGTCAGTCATGTGTAACTAAATATACCCATGGATATGGAAAGGACCATCTCTGGAAGTTCAACTTCCTCGGGTTCCTTGCAAGAGGAAGAAGGGCAGGGTATACCTGTAAGATGACCATCACTCTTGTGATCGTGAGTGGGAAGGTTCAGAGGCAGCAGCTGAAAGGTGTTGGAGGCCAAGTGGGAAGTCCTGGTGCTCGCGGGGGTGATGTCTGCAAATCAGGCATGGCTTGAGACTAGGCAGGGCTTAGCCCTTCTCTCCTGGCTTCCACAGCTCTGGTCCAGGCTATTACGGAGGATGAGCAAAGGCCACCTGTTCTGATGCAGCATGGCAACATCCTTGGGCCATGCTATTCCAGCAGGTCTCCATGCAGGGCCAAAGATGCCCTTTCATTGTTTCTAAAACACTCTGAATTAGCAAGACCAGCCAGCACAAGAGGTCCCCATGCAAGTCAGGACCGGTATCACGTTCACCATCCATGGTTGGGAACCTGCCAAAGACTCAAACTTTGGCAGGGGCTCAGGGCCAGCAGGAGGTGTGACACCAGCCCTCCGAAGTTGTGCCTGCAATGATTCTCTGCTGAGCTTGTATATGAGGAAGAGGAAGAAGAGCAGGCCTGGTGAGTGAAAAGGGTGGGAAGAAGGTAGACCCACCATGGGAGAGGTCCTGCCTCACCTAGGAGCTCTCCAAGACCTGAACTGGTGCTCCTCCCAGTGACCCACCACCTTCATTCAAACATTCCAGGGCGTGGGAGATTTATGTGAACTCTTTCCCAGATATTGGGAGCAGCAGAAGGGGCTGCACAGTGAAACGTCGATGTTTAGTTGTGGGGGATGCGTTTTTCTTCAGGAGTGTCTTAAGATGTTGAATCCGCTTCACCTTGAAGTCGTCCTGTCACAGGGACTCTCACCTGTCTCTTGCAGAGGCATGCCATTGGTGCCTTGCGGCTCTCAGCAACATGCTGGACGGGCACACCCCTCCCTGGAATGGAGCTGCAGCTGGAATAAAAACACATGTGGAGAGGGAGCCTCTGTTTTCATGGCCCTTGGCTGCCCAAAGGCAGAAGCGCACGTGGCTGGGTGTGCTTGATTGATTGGACCTCCTTACGCCCCGATGACGGCATCTGCCCCCGCCTTATGTGTCAGCTTAAGTTGTGCCCAGACCTGCCTCTTCGGTGTTACAGCGGTTGTGTGTGGGCTTGTGTATCGCTCTGGTCTAGAGCCACATGCGTCTCCCAGAGCCAAGCTGTTTGCAGCTGTTGGGGTTGTCTGTGAGAAGCAGAGGGCAAGCCTGGAGCCGGGAAACCTGATCATTTGCTCAGTGAAAACAAGAGGCCTTTATGGCCCCTCCTGCTGAGGACAGCCAGCGCCCAGCCTGGGTGAACTGAGTCATTTCAGCAGGAGGGAGCTGTGCCGCATACGTTTGCCACTTGGCAGCTGTGCACAGGGCCATGGCTCCTGCGTTTGCCTCCAGATGTGCCTGATGGAACATGGTATGGGATTGGCTTTCTGCAGACGGAAGAGGCAAGTTGTGTCCTGTCACCCCTGCCATCCCTGAGCCCATTTCCCCATTGATGTCAGGAAAGGGACCTAAGACTGGATTCTATCCAGGAGCCTATGAAGGTCGAGGGGGACCACTGATGGCAGAAGACATCTCATCTCCTCGAAGTGCCACGTTCCACTTCTGAAGCAGATGAATGACCATGAAGAGTCCCACCAAGTTGTGTTGCCGTCTATTTTCCCCATAATGCTTTTACTTGTAGGATAGGTCAGAACCTGAGATGGTTCAGGGGTATTAAACAGTGCAGCTCCCCTTCTTGCAATAGCATAATATTGCCAGATTTAGAAGCTACCTCCTCACCCCCGTAGATATTCGGTGGGGAGAATATTCCTGAGATATTCTGTTGGCAGCTAAATCATCACTTGAAAGCAAATGTTGTCTCCTCCTCCTCCTCCCATTTCTTTCCCACAAAAGTGCTCTGATACCCCCAGAAACCCCCCACTTTTGCAGGGGATAAATTGTTCCATGAAATTGCTAGAATTAGTATTCTGTACATCTTGAATCAATACCTGGTCTCTCTCTCTCTCCCCTCAGCCTGCATTCCTCATGGTATCATGAAGCTGATCTAGGAGGGGCAGAGACAGGTTTTATTGTGTACCAACAACTTCTGTTTTCCAATCAAGGATTTGACTTACCCTGTTGACACCCCTTCCTAGATCATCTTCACATTCTTGGCTGGATATCTAATGGCTGATATGGGAGTCTGTTCTTGGTCCTCTGGGGCAAACCAGGTGGTGCTGAACAGCCTTTGATTGCTGAAAGTGGAGGGAGAAAGTGCTTCGGCTCTAGAGAGCCAAGGGGTGAAGGAATTATATTCCTTACGTCAACAGCATTCAGCATTGTTTCAAGCTCTTGGCCCTTTCCATAGCAGTTTTATGGTGCTTTGGTATGACAGCTGGCAAGTATTTGTGGCATAACAGCCAACAGGAATGGTGCAAATGTGTTCTTGGTGGCTTGTGGTTGTGTTGCAGCCTTCAGGGTTGGTATAATGTTGTGACTAAGACTGCATTTCTTTGTGTAAATGTATGGGAACTAACCTCAGATCGTCCGGCCCACTTGTAGTTCCAATTGAATTACCAGCCTGTGGCGTAGCTCAGATGGGGGAAATGAGTGGGGGGAACTGGATGTTAAACCCCCTTTTCTGCACTGTAATGGTCACAATCCAATGTTAGGGGACACCAGATTCTTTTAAAATGCAATGAAAATATACGGTAATGATCCATTCAGGTTTAATGCCCCCAGAGTGCTGTGAACCTTCTCAAGAGCCGTACTCATCATCATGGAACATGATGGGCATTTTCTTCCAATGGGTCAAAAGTTTTTGCTGTCAAAGGGCAGGGACTTCCAAGTGAGCTTGCACTCTGTGTGACTGTGAAAAGTCAAAGTGCCACCACAACCTGGGCAGCTCAGAAAATCTTTGGCCTAAGAGGGATTGCTTTTCCCCTCCAGTTGGATTGATCTCCTATCCTTGCGAAAACAGAACATGCAGAAGAGCTTGCTGGTGCCCCGAAAGAACTTCGCTGTCATTTTCTGACTTGCTTTCTCACTTGGAAGTAACTAAAGGTTGCAGCAGCCGCTCTTTTAAGTGGTTGAAAATAAAGCACCTTTGATTATCCTGGTAATGAAGAGGTCTGTCTTTTGGCTTTTCTGCTTCCAGGACTTACAGACTCCCCCTTGCAAATCTACCCCACAGGTGTAGGCATGTGTGTTGGAGAACGGAGCTTTCTGCTCTCTCGAAAACCCTCACACATTTTGATTTCTTCAGCTGCTGCTCACACGAATGCAGAAGGGAAAGCTTTCTCAGGGCAGTGTGCCTTGTGAGGGGTACATGCCCGCTATGTGTGATGATTTGTGAAGGAGTCATCCTTGTAAAGCTATTGGTTCTGGTCATCAGGCTTTATCCAATGCTTTGGAGACGATGCCGTTACTCTATTTGGGAAGTTGGCTGACTCTCAAGGCTCTCTCTCTCTTGCGCTCTCTCTCTCTCTCTCCCCCCTCCCTCTCTCCCTCCCTCCCTTTCCTGAAAGGCTGTTCCACAGCGAAAATATGCTCAGTACAGCTGAGTGCATGAATGAAAAAGCCTCTGATAGCTTCTAGGCTAGCAAAATGCAGCACAGTACTCAACTTATCCTGGCATTTATTCTGTCCCAGGTAAGGAATTGGGTTGAACCTGTCTCTGTCATGTTTGTGTGTGTGTGCGTGTGTGTGTGTGTTCTGCATTTCTCCCTATGCTTCCGTTGCTCTTTTTCCTCCCTATTTGAAGTGCCTGAATACTCAGCAATCACACGCTGGCTATAAACACGGTGTAGTGGATCTGAAAATATCATCTGCTCAATGAGAGAGGCATTTGTGGGTTCCACTGGAAAGAAATTGGCTACTCTGCATGTGTGTGTGTGTGTTTGTGTGTGTGTGAACATTTGTATTTTCTGCACACGGGAAAGAGAAGAAATCTCTCAAATGTGCCTGGATTGCAGCAGTAAGATTTTTCTGTCACCTTAAAATGCTTCAACTTTGATTTGCTTCTCCTTCCTGGGGATTCTGACAGAATCCGTTACAAGCAGCACATTGCTCGTCATTTTGCAAAAGAAGAACAGATATTTAGACAAGACAGAGAGGAAGAAGTACGGTAAAAGATCGCTCGCTGACATCCCCTCCTCCTCTCACTCTGCCCCGCCAAATCCTTGATGGATTTGGAATATTGAGCATTAGTGACTTGCTCGGTAGCCTTCGCCTCCCTTCGCAACTGTAACCGATCTCCTCTTCCAGAAAGGCAGAGAAAAAGAGAGTGGGTGAGAGAGAGACCCAGCCTTCAAAAAAACAGCGGCTGTGGCTCTGCTGTTGCTGTCAGTCAAACGCCGAGGAACTCGCTGGTCTCCAACTTCTGTCTTCCCTCTCGGCTCCTCTTTCTTCCCCTCTGAGAATGTGGAGCAGAATCCATGGTAGAGGGTGGGGTGCGATGTTCAAGGCGCCTTTGCTGTCATTGGGGGCAATGTCCTCACAGCCCCTTGCGCCCCCTTCCCCCACTTGGTGCTGGTCTTTCTTTGGAGCTTCAGCTCCTGCTCAGTTGTGGTCTCCTGTGGATCCTGCATGGAAGTGAAAGTTAATTGCCTCCCGGCCCGGGGACTTGGCTTGCATGGGCTTTGCAACTTGAGGCTGTGACAAAGACCCATGCTTAGAGAAGACAACCTTCCATAGGCTGGTGTCTGCCTTAGGTCCCCCTGCCTCTAGCCATGGGAACTTGCCTTCTACCAATTCCATTAACCTGGCCAGCATTGACTATTCCTCTTTAGATGGAGATGCCCAAGGATTGCAACTGGGACCATCAGCATGTCAAAGATCTGCTCTGCCACTTAGCGTGGGCCCCTCCCTAGAGGAGGCACCCTTGCTCCCCACTGTTGACAGCTTTTTCTATTTATGGCATCTGCAAGAGATTGCAAGGAGTTCTCTGTCTTCCAACTATAAATCCTTCTCATAGAATTCCCCAAAGGAGGATCCCCTTGTTTCATCAAGAGATGAAACGGGGAAGACTAGGACTTCTATGGAGGCAAATCCTCGTCCAGCCAGGAGGCAGCTGGCTGCAATGGGGTGGCCCCACATGAGTTCCCATGACATGGGTAAGTATGTCATGGAGGCTTACCAGGCAGCCCTGCTTTGTCCTGGCCAATGGCTTTTGCTATGATGGACATCAAGATTTACCCTTAACCCAAGAATAGGACGGTTCAAGAATATGGTGATTTTGGTAGATGTTGGAGTGTCTTCACAGACTGGTTGCTCTACCAGCAATGCAGATGTAGTTGAGTCCACAATGAAGGGTGGCTTGGAGATCGTCAGTGTAAAGTGAGACTCAACTATGGTTGGCGGTTCCTGGATGAAGTACGGAGCGGTTTGCTAGATGATGTGCTGTGAAGTCGTTGGGGTGTCTTAATGCTGTGAAAGTGAAAGAGCCATGCTGTGGGCTTCACTAAGGACATGTGAAGATGTACGCGAAATGCACAAGTAGCACAGGGAATTGGGGAAGCTGCAAGAATATTACGGAATTGCAGGGATGGGATGCTAAGGAAAACCAGGTTTACGTTGTTGCAACTACCTGAATTTCACAGCATGAGAGAAATGGGAGACATTGATGTTGCTATTGGACAACTTTAAAGGAAACGTAGAGGTTGTTAGATGTGATTCTATGATTTGGCTCACTTGTCTGAGTTGTCCATTTGTAGATGACCTCCCTTGCTTTTGGTGTCTTACCTGCTCTTCGTTTTAGCACAACATGATTCAGAAGACTGGCCCTCTCGGGCTTCTATAATTTGGTCATCAGGACCAGACTTCCCAGGTTGCTTGGGACAGGGAGGGAGAGAGAATGAAGGGGACAGATGGAGGGAGGGAAAGAATAATGATTATGCAATGTCTGCTTTGTTTCAAATTATGCTTGACAGTTGCCCTTGGCAGAAATAAGGTACAGAATCTGGGTTTTAAAGCTGGCCATATCTCCAGCTTCTTGGGCATACGTGGTCACATCGTTTTGACCAACCTCACAGGACTGTTGTGAGTCCTGCTGGTAAGAGAAGAACACCTCCTAAGTCCCCTCCATGGGATTCCATATCCCATATTGATGAGTTCAAGTTTCAGCTGACCCATGTCATTTCCTCTGTATTTATTACTATGAGAGAAAGGCAGACTCACTTGTATTCCATGCCTTGTACACATTATTAGCTGAATTCTATCATGTCTGAAATGTGACTTATTTGGAGAGAGACAACACTGGTTGATCGGATGACTAGAGATGATCTAGAGGTTCATTCACAGGACCTGTTTGAGGTCCAGGCCTCCAGGCTGCAAGATATGCAGGAAATGAAACATGGACTAACTCTGAGTAATGTCACCCTGACTGGTCTGGGGCTCAGAAAGCACATCAGAATAGGAGACTGATTTTCTTCCTTTTGGAAAGTTACCACTGGCTGTTGTGATATGGCACTTCAAGCACATCTTACTTTGTGAGGGAAAGATTGGACTGAAGGAGCATCAGTAGGAATCCGTGCAACAGCTGGTGAGATGATGAGCAAGGGTCCTCTGTGAAGAGGCTACTCAGATGGGTTTTTCAATCAGCTTCCAAGAAGTTCCATGCGGCAGGGAAGCGAACAGGAGAGCATGGGAAATGTTACCTGCCATACACAGCCATCTGGCAGGGGTTGTGGTTGTAACACACTTTGGCAGTGATATTTTTCTCTTTCTTGGCAGCAGTCACAACTCATTCCTTGATAGCCAGTGAGCGGAGGCATTGATCTCGATCGTCTGATTTATATGCCATACGAATCTGTTGCCACAATGCCTTCCAGGGAATAGCAGACTTTGGGTTTTCAAATAACTTTTGGATCATCCAATGGGAACCGCAGGGCAGGAACGGGTCTCCTGTGAAGAGTGTTACGGATGCTGGAAAGTCTAAATTTGCCAAAAAAAACAAAACAAAACAAAACAAAAAAAAAAACCCAGCCTCCAATGGATGCTGTGTATCAGGGAGGGATGAACTCCTTCGACCCAAAGGCTGAATTTAGCTTCAAAGCACACCTGGACAGAGGAGGGGGAGGGGGAGGAATAAATAAAGAAATCCTTAAAAATACCAGTTTAGCAGCCTTAGGAGAGGCATCACAAGCTTTGTAGAAAAGGGAAATGATACACAAAAGCCAGGGGTGAGGGATCCAGTGACTGGAGGAAAGAAGATGAGGCCAGGGAAGAAGCGACTTTCTGGGCAACTGAGAGGTCAGACAGGACCCTGTGGAGGATTCAGTTCAGCTACTGGGCCTGAATTCCCTCCCTTCCCTTCCACATGCACTAGAGTTTGCTTCTAAGTAAACAGACGCTATATAATATCTATTTCACACACACACACTGATTCACTCCCCCAAACCTCTGCAAAACAATTTGCCACTCCTGCTTGTTTCCTGGCTGGAAGAACCGAGGCGGATGTGTTCAAAGGCTGTGCTGAGGCTTTGTTCAAACATTAGCTAGAAGCAACAGCAGGCCGTGTGTGGCGGAGCTGCTCCCTTTCTCTGTGCCTCTGGAGTAGTTTCAGAGGTGGAATGCTATGTCCATCTCTGGGGTGGACTCTGTTCTGTTCTGCTTTGCTCTGGGAAAAAGATGCTGAGGGATCACAATGCGTGCAAAGAGAAAGTGGGTGGTTTTGATGTCCAGGTGCATTCACAGGCTGGGGGAGAGGCAAGGTAACTTTCTCAATTAGTTTCCCCATGGCGAATCCGGTTCTTCTGAGCCCTCCACTGTGCCAAATGCCCGTGGAAGTGAATGCACCCTAAGGACTAAAATAAGCTCTTGCAGGCACAAACCTACAGGATAGATGCACAGTAGAGAAAGGGCTTAATGCTGCAAGAGCAGCAAAGTGGCAGAGTCCTTGTTCAGCCCCCTTCATGTGCTCATTTTCGGTTGGCGTGGGTTGGAATGAGAACAAGGAATCATCTGGAAACAGCAGGCCCATGTTCTCCTCTTTCCTCTCCTCTTCCCCCCTTTCGGCTCCTCACTCACTCCCCGCCTTTCCTTCTTGCCCAAGCTCTTCTGAGGACATGACATTCAGTTTGGCAGGAGGCCACCAGGGCTATTTCCACGGTGCCTGGAAGGCAAAAGGGTGGGTGCGGATGGAGAGACTTGGTTGGCTCTTTCCCAGCAACCCTCAAGTTTATAATTCTGTCTGTGACCCCCAGGAATGGTCCCCACAGAACCTCCAATGCCCTGTGAGAGTCCTCCAAGTCCTACCCAAAGCCGCTGACACTGGTTGCACCTCCTCTTCTCTCATGGCACAGCCATTCCTGAGTGGTGGCGGAGAATCCCACACACACATGCATGGAACTTGTCGAACTGGGTCCATTGCGACTGGCAGCCCAACAGCCTTTCAGAACCTCTCGCATTTCTTCAGTCGTCTCAAGAACTGGGAAAGGTCAAGCTGGAGGAACTTCCTTCTCCTTGTTGTCTTTTAATAAAAGGAAATAGTGCATTAGGAGGTGTTGGCCAGCCATGTGGCTACCTCCTTTGAAGGAAGGAGGAAAGACTGCAGGTAATAGGTAGAATCCAGAACCTGCCTTCAGCAAGGGGAAAGGGTCTTCTGCAAGGGAAAGGTCTAGGAATGGAACGTTTTTCTGGGGCAGCACAGG